AAGGGACATTGTCTTCTAAGCAATTGCTTAATTTTCCTATTGTCAGAGGCATACAAAGTGTGCTGGATATTGTTGTTATTTTTAGTGGACCACTTCAGGCCAGTATGTATTCAATGTTTTGTCAAAGTGGAGTATTAATAAACATAGGTAGCTCTGCTGCTAAAAGAGATCTGCTGCTCAAATAAAGACAATAAAACATTTTTACCCTGAAGAGAAGACATTTATTGCTAACCTGTCTTCTCCAGAAACACATCTGGTGGTTTTGATCTCCTGGTCCATCGCCACATACCGTGGCTCCTTCCGCCATCTCCTACACCTCTACAGGACACAGCGACAGAGTTGCTTTAAGTGGCTATAAACATTAGAGGACAGGTAAATGTTAGGTAGTGACTGAAACACATACCTCTCATTTGTCCATTTATGTGCTGAATTTTTTTTACTCCGAAGGGCCAACTGAATTGTGTATGCATGTATTAAAAGAGGTACACCACGAAGCTTGGGTGATTTTGGAGCTAGGAGTTTCAGTTAGGGAGGAACTGGCAAATGGGAAACACCTGCTTGATTGGAAACTCATTGGCATGAAACTGTACCCTAATTCAGCCTATAGTCATATATACTGCCTGGTCATAACCTGTGAAAAACAATAATCTACAAAGCAGCTAATAGCCTTTTGACTCTGGTGCAGAACCTCAGGCTACAAACTCAGCAGTCATCCTAAGCAGTTGTTTGAGTATATGAAAGTTGGTGGCAACCGATGATTGGTGTTCTAGGGCACTTTTTTTAGCCTGGATTAATACCAGAAATGCATGATTTAATGAACATTGGGTTAATAAATGTTCTATTTAAGATGTATATTCAATTGATTTGAATGTCAAAATGCAGGTCAAGGCATTCAAAACACAACGTAAATTTTTTTAACATACTGCTAATTCAATGCATTAGTATGAACAGTTGCCTGTAAAAATAGTGTGGATAATTGATCAAAACTGTAGCAGATACAATTCGGAGCAGCCGTGCATAGCAAACAATTAGCCTCTATCTCCATCTTGTTCAGTTAAGCTTTGGAAATGAAAGCTAGAAATTGATTGGTTGTCCTATGCAGCTGCTCCAGATTCTGGCTTCTCCAGTTTTGATATTTTGGTATTTTCCTTTGTCTCTATTTTACTGCTGTTGAAAAAAAAGAAGCATGGCAATGTGTCCAGTGTGAATATGGCCCTGGTATCGGTATACATACTTTTGTAGTGGAACCTTACCCAGCTTGTGGCTTCTGGGTCATTTGAAACCCAAATGCTGCAAAATTTCACAGTAAGAAAAAAGGGGAAAAAATTAGGAAAAAAATATAAATATTTTTTTCAGCATAACATTTACTGTATATATAATTCTTCTAGACTTCTATGCATTGCACTGCACATATTATGTTCTACAGCATGTCAAGGGCATTGCATATATAGTAGATGTTACATTTAAAAAGTAAAGGTCTGTGGAAGGGTTTAGGCCTTAGGGTCAGATCTACACTAGAAATCACAAGGTTACCACCTTGACATTTGGATTCTTGAAGTAAAGAAAGCAATTTAAAAAAAAACTCTTTCTCATTCCACCTCTGGGAATTACACTTCTCAATGACTGCTGTTGCCTACAGCAAGCTCCGCACATACAGTAGAACACTATGATTACAAATCTGGTTCCTTTGCTGCAGCCAGGTTATATTTCCTTCAAGCAAAAAATAGGCCTTTCTGCAAAGAAGAAAGCGAAAGGGAGCAAGAGTCAACAGGTTTACTGTTCGCATTCTGATAGAATGTTTTATTTCAGCATAATATTTTTACAGATCTAAACATTCTGGAAGTTTAACTCTGTACACGCATTTTAGTGTTTTGCTTTTTGTAGATATGTGACTTTCACACATGTTAAGTATTTACATAGCCTGAACAAGCTGTAAAATCACTTTAAAACAAAGCAGTAAGTACTGTGGAAAAATTTTACTGAAATTAAATTTTTTTTCCTAGTTAATTTAAATTCCTGTAAAAACCTGGCATTTTGCCAGCTCACTAATGTAAACACACAGCAGGTGTTTTGAAGCCATTGATTCTTTAATGCCTGATACACACTATGAGTTTTTTTTTTTCGTTCAGCCCAGCAGTCTGAATGGAAAAAAACTAAGAAGCTTGGGAGGAAATCGCTAAACTACCTATGTAATATTAGTACAGCGATCTCCCTGCTGAGCTACTGTGTGTTCTGACAGGGGGACTGCCCAGGATGTCAATCAGCAGATGTTTTTTCTACGATGCACATTCTACATAAGTCATTCCTGTCGAACAGGCTGCTGTACACATGGGCCAAATGTCGTCAGGTTTCTGTTGAACCAGACGATACTGGATGATATTTGACCCTTGTGCACCAGGATTAACTATGGATGGCAGACCTCTTAGGCATAGGTTGCTGCTGATGCTCACCCTTGCTTCCTCCAATTATTTACAGGTCTTCCACATAATGCTGTAATGAAGCAAGAGGCAGAGAGTCCATGCAGAGCTGCACATATCAGGTATTGGAGCCATCAATTGGAAGAATGTGAGCAGTGTAAGGTTGCAGAGGTAATTGGTGGAGGGGGGAGCAGAGGTGCTCAATGGCGGAGGATGGAGCATGCAAGGAGTGGAGAGGTGTTTGGTGGTGGAGGAGGCTTGCAGGGAGTGGAGAGGTGTTTGATTGTGGTGTAGGTGTGTAGGGCTGCAGAGGTGAATGACTGCTGCATAGGTGAGCAATGGTGGAGGAGGGATACAGAGGTGAGCAGGTGGACAAGCAGAATCAAGATGAGTGGTGGATAAAAAGTGCAGTTGTAATCAGTGGATTCTCTGACTATTTTAATGATACTCTTCTTTAAGGTAAGCATGATTAAAGTGTCAGCTCTCTGTTTCTTTGTATGCAGATTTCTGTACCTAGAACAGAGTGCACCCCTTACCTTTCCCTAGTAAGTACTTCATTGTTGATAAGGTGCTTTAGGGGAATCCTTACCACTGCCTTCTATGTAAAGTGCAGTTAAACTGCTGTATAAAGTAACTAGGCAATGCTCCTCCACAGAGTGCCCTAATAGCAAGCCGCTTGCTATGGGGGCACACATGTGGGCTTGCTCCCAAGTGGCTATGCTTGTCCATAGACACACAGAGCATGACTCAGACCCCGTCCTGCTCCCTGGCTGTGATTGACAGCTGCTGGAGCCAGTGGCCTATGAGACTATGAAGGGGGGAGAGAGCTCTGGATTGAGATTGGGCTCAGGTAACTATGGGGGGGGGGGGGGGGGGGGGGGGGGGTCTAGTCGCAGAGCTGCACACTGAAGGTATTTGCCTTAATACAGAGAATGCATTAAGTTAAGAAAAAACTTTAGGCTTTAGAGCCTCTTTAAGAGTTTTATTTTGTGACCTTTGAGAAACAAAAACTCCACATTATAAGCAGCTAGAAGGGTCACGGTTAGCTTGTTTTCAAGCTCTTCTGCTGCTTGTTAGGAATATGTTCATATTCCTATAATTCCGTATTCAGGTTCATAGTCATGATTGGGTGCTAAAAGTTACTGCACACTTCGCCTAATCATTTTGCTTTGTGCAGCTTTACTGAATATGCTAGAATATAATGAACTAAGCAGTGCAATAAACGTAAAAACAATATTAATTATATGTTTTTGTAAGGTTATAGATACATGTATATTATTGATATTCAGTCTTATTCAATATAAGCTTGCAAACTGAAGTCAGAATATTTTAGTCTGCAAGAACTGGAATTCAAAAAATGCCTTTTTTATATAAAGTCAATGGTTTGAAAGAGAAGTACAGACATGGTATGGACATGATGATTTTAAATAATGATTTATTTAAGTGCAGGGTTTCCTTTACATGTAGGGTACAAACTGTGGAAAAAATTGATTAAGGTGTATCTATGGTCAAAATGTAAAATCACAAATTAGTTTCCACATTGAATTTCAAGTATTCCTTGCCAACTTCTATTAGGGCTCATGTACACGGGGTGTTTGGAAAACTCTTCTGAATGATGGAAATTGACTGCTGGAAAACGTAGGTTAAAAAATGTCAGTTTGTGTTTAGAAGTGTTTTTAAAAGATAACCTCAGGAGACCTTCCCAAATGCCCAGAATGCACTGAAAAATAGTAACAAATTAACTATTTCAGACATTTTGAGAGGAATAGAGAGAGCAGAAGCAGAGAGAGCAGTATGTGTTGAGATTACCTATCTTATCTGGTTGTATTCACTATGGATCCCATCATGAGCATAATGCAACATGTTCTGCCATTTTTTTCTTCACGCAAAACCTGGAACTGACTGCGCTGGTGTACTACATCTATTTGAATACATGGAAAGTTGGAGCCAGATTGATGAAGAATACTGTTTGTCAATAGTTAAATCCATGCCTCAGAGAATTCAAGCTGTCATAAAAGCCAAAGATGGTGAAACAAAATGCTAGTGGTGTACTGTAGTGGTTTTTTTTCATGATTCTATAATATTTTCCTCAGAATTGAGTGATTCCATATTTTTTTTCCTTTTTCCTCTGCTTGATCTGCAAAAGCAGTTGCAACGGACTAAGTTTTCTTTCTTTTTTATTTTTTTAAGTGTTTCTTAACTAGCTGCCGACCGCAGATAGCCGAATGACGGCTGCACTGTGGCCGGCCAGTTCTGAGTGAACGTCATATGACGTCCTCCCAAAACGCGCTCTCCTGCGCGCCCCAGGGGGCGCGCACCCGGCGATCTCCGTGATCGCTGTGTCCTACGGACACAGCTGATCACGTGATGTGGTAAAAGGCCAATCACAGCGGCCTTTTACCACGTGATCAGCGGTGTCCAATGACACGCTGATCACAGGGAAATGCAAGTGCCGGTTCTCGGCTGCACTTTCCTCACGCTGTCAGATCGTGAGGAATGTACTGCCGAGAACCGGCAGTTGTCAGAGCGGGGAACGGCACCGATCATCAGGGCACTGATGATCAGTGCCCTGATGATCGGTGCCCAGCAGTGCCACCCGCAAGTTCCGCCCACCTTGCCCAGCAGTGCGCCCACTAGCTCCGCCCACCTGTGCCCAGCAGATCACCCAGCAGTGCACCCACCTGTGCCCAGCAGTGCACCCACCTGTGCCACTCTGCAGTGCCACCTACCTGTGCCCAGAAGTGCCACCTACCTGTGCCCAGCAGTGCCAACCACCTGTGCCCACCCACCTGTGCCCACCAGTGCCACCCACCTGTGCCCACCCACCAGTGCTGCCCACCAGTGCCACCCACCAGTGCAGCCCAGCAGTGCTGCCAGTCAGTGCCACCAGTCAGTGCCCAGGGGTTGTGCCAGTCAGTGCCGCCAGTCAGTGCCCAGCAGTGATGCCAGTCAGTGCCGTCTATCAGTACCCATCATCAGTGCCACCTATCAGTGCCGCCTATCAGTGCTGCGTATTAGTGCCGCCTATCCGTGACACTTCATTTGTGCTGTCTATCAGTGCCGCCTATTCGTGCCACCTCATTAGTACTGCCTATCAGTGCCCTTTAGTGCTGCCTATCAGTGCCCATCAGTGCCGCCTATCAGTGCCCATCAGTGCTGCCTCATCAACGCACATCAGTGAAGGAGAAAAAATACCTGTTTGAAAAATTTTATAATAGAAACAAAGAAACTTTTTTTTTTCAAATTTTTTGCACTTTTTTTATTTATAGCGCAAAAAGTAAAGCGCCCAGTGGTGATTAAATAGCACCAAAAGAAAGCTCTATTTGTGAGAAAAAAATGATCAAAATTTCATATGGGTACAATGTTGCATGACCGCGCAATTGTCAATCAAAGTGCGGCAGCGCTGAAAGCTGAAAATTGGCCTGGTAAATAGGGGGTATAAGTGCCTGGTAGGCAAGTGGTTAAAGCCAGAAGGTTGGAATGTTAAATGAAAATAGTTTTGAGGCATGTCTGTGATTATTTTTTGCTCTATACAATTAAACAATTGAATGATCGTTTTCAAAGAGTGGTGATTCTATACTTTTGCCAGGGGTTGTAGAAATGTGCACGCCTATGCCTACATGCACATGCATTAGCCAGGCAGCACATCTTACCCTGATGGCTGGTACCATGTTCATGCCAAGCAGGCACCACCTTTTATCTGGAGCTTCAAAACCACCTCCAAGTCTGGGAGTCTGAGACCCACTCTTCCCATGAATTCAAATCACAATTTCCTGGCCTGGGTTGCCCCAGAATAGCAGATTCTCAGCATGTGCAGGATTTATCATGAACCCATGGAAGCAGCAAACCTGAAATTCTCCCAAGTGGCTGGTGTAAATGCCTTCATTACGTTGGTGTCCAAGGGAAAGGACCATGTTGCAATAATGTTTAGTGAAGTGTCTTTGCTGTTCAGTGGGAGAAGGCCCTATTATATTGGTGACATTGGGTGAAGGACACCTATTCATTGTTGTCAGTGGGAAAGGGCCTCCATTTATTGGTGGTCAATGGTTACTTTTTGTGAGACATGAACTCCCCTGTAAATGCCTAATATACCCTTTGTGCTGGAGCTATGAGTTACCATCAAGTACCACCTACAGACCTGGAACACAGCCAGGGTACTTTCATTCATTTGGTCACTGAGATTCTGGGACCCATTACAGGGTAGAGGCAGCCCCTACCTCAAAGGTATATCCCATTCAGCGTTTTGTAGCTTGTAGCTTGAAGATCAAAAATGATCAACAAGCAAAAACCAATTGCTTTCATTAGCGCTTGTTCGCATCTGAGCCTCCTTTCACTTATAGCAAAAAGCCTGTCACTCAAAGTAGCTACTTTTCGGGCAGAATTCAGCTTTTTTTGTCCCTATAGACTTCAAATTAAACACCTGAAAAGCGCAACATTAAATATTTTCAAGCCTTATGTCGCATATTTTCTGCTCAAGCAGCAGCTCTCAATTCTCTTTTTCAATAGCACTCCATACCTTTTAGTTGAAAAATGCCCGACAAAAGCTGAAAAAGGTTTCAATTCTGCTCAAAAAAATGCTTGAATAAAACACTTGAAAAAACGTTTGAAAATGTGATGCTTAGGCATGAATGTAGCCTAAGACTACATTCATACTGAGCTGAGCATTTTCAGGTGTTTTTTCAAGAGTTTTTTTCAGGAGTTTTTAAGCATTTTGTTTCAGCAGATTTGCAAATATTGTAGGCGTTTTTGCTGTGGCCAATAGAAATCTGTGTAGATGTGTCCTAGGCACATACAACAGGAAAACCAGAATCAAGCACATGGCTAAGGTACACAGAAGTTCTTTACTTTTCTCCTTGACCTGGGGAGCAATGTAGCTGTTCCACCGGGGCAGCAAGTTTCATTCCACTTCCTTCCAGGCTCTGGTGGTTCTTGCCTGGATCTTATAATGGGGATCCCTGGGATCATAGATGCAGGGGTGGTCATGAATGAGAGCAATGAATGTCTCAGCTTCCAGAAGCAGACTTTCCTCCATTTTGATCACAAGATGTTTGTTTATAAGATGTGGAGTGGTGCTAGAAAAAGTGAGGGGAGCTGTTTGAGATGAAAATGCCTGAAAAAAAAACACTTGAAAAAACACTCAAAAGCTCTAATTTCTTGCTATTCCATTCAAATCTATGGGGACAAAAATGCTCAAATCTGCCTGAAAAGTAGCAAATGTACTTTTTTGTTTTTCTACAGTCTTGCCTATATTCCTATCACATACATTTCTGGATACAGGGCTCATCAGTAGTTGGTGCTGCATCGACTACCAACTGGATACTGGAAACATCACTGATAAATGCACATATTCGCCAGCACACCAAGGATCTTCAAATGTAGTCCAAAAGCTATTAACGCAGAAAGATCACATCGCAAAAGGACAACTGCAAAGTTTTGGAACCACCCAGGACCCCTTTGTCACATGCCTAATGAAGGGTTTCTACACAGCTCTGAAACATTGCACTTGTTCTTTTGTGATGTGATCTTTCTGCAATAAAAGCTTTTGGACAACGTTTGAAAAACCTTGGTGTGCTGATAATTATGTGCATTGAGGCGTTTTGCTACAGGTGACAAAACGCTCAAATGAGAACAGAGGCCATTGAAATGAATAGGATTTTGAACCTTGTTCAGCGTTTCTGAGCATTGAGCTTCAAGCTGAAAAATGCTCAACTGTGAATGAGGCCTAATAGTCCAAGACTTTGAAGCCCCTGTGTGCTTGCACAGGCTACATACTGTACATGATATGTCCATCAATGGCTGAAATTGGGAGGAAGGTAACATTTTAGCAGGCAGGCTGGAATCAAAGATGAGAGGATTAATTAAAGAACAATTGTACTAAAAGTTGTAAAATTAACATTTAAAAGTGTAGCTCTGGCAGAGAGTCCCCTTAAAGCCAGAGGACAGGTTTGCAGCATGGAACAGAGAGACTCTGCCTATATTTATTCCACTGTCCAGTGATTAGCTAGAGCCCAAGCTTCATAGGTAAGTTATTTTGTTAGATGAAAGCTCTTTTACCATTCAGTAACATTTGTTTAACTGATTGCCAGGTTGTTCTACTCACATTCACTTAGTGCATTTAGACAGGGCTAATAACCAGTTAATAAAAAAAACAAAATCTCTATTCACCTTATTGTGTTTATAAATATTTTGGTAGTAGATAATGTGTTTACCCTGCCATTGTGAAACCTTCTTACCTAGTGTATTTTTTACAGGGCTTGTTTTAATAAATGCTTTTTTTAAATTCTAGTTTTGGATAGCATGGTGAAGAGTTTAAAACTTCTTACAGTTTTTTTATTTCTGTCTATGACAGCACTGGAGAGAATGTTCCTTTTGCCCTCATGCCTGTAGAAAAAATTGAGGGTATCTAGGTCTTTTGGTGGAGCTGCATGGTATTAGATAAGATATTACTTTGTTGTCATTGTATACATACAACAAGATCTATCAAGGTACTCTTTACAACATCAATTTAAAAGAAAAAAAATTATCCACACAACCACACATACATACTACTAGCACATATCCACATATCTGTTCTTAAATGTAAAAAAAATATAAAATATTTTTTAAAAAGTAAAATTTCACATAAAAATTCCTGAAAATCTATACCTGGTGGGGTGATGAACAATACAGCCCTAGGGAAAAAAACTATACTTTAAGCGAATAGTGTGCATTTTGAGTGTCCTATATCTTTTCACTGATGGCTACCGGACAAATACACAAATACCCGGATGGTTTGGATCTCTACTAATAACTTTTGCCCACTTTTTAATTGGCTGTCATATACTGTGTCCAAATTTGTTAGCTCCGTACTTTTGATCCACTGGGATGGGATCCGACAGGCACTTATCTTCTGCCCTGCAGCTGGCTTACCATACTACAACACAGTGGAGAAGAATGATTTTAAAGCTACAGTGATAGAAGCCTTTTGGCTCCTGGTTGTTTAAATCTCCTAAGGAAAAACAATCTATGTTTCACTTATTTTCAGTAGAAAACTAGTATTTCGAGACCATGACAACTCCTTCCTAGTAAGTACTCCACAAAATTTTGGTATCCACCCTTTCCACCTCCTCACCACCTATATTTAACGGGCAATGACTGGTCTTTTTAGATCCCCTATAATCCATTATTATTTCTTTAGTTTTTGCAGTATTAAGTATTAAATAGTTTTTTGTACACCACTCAACCAAAAGTTGAATTCCCTGCCTATAAACTGTCTCGCCATTTTCTCGTATGAATCCAACTAAAGTAGTGTCATCAGCAAACTTCACTATAGTGTTTGATGCATGTATGGGAGTAGAGTCATGTGTAAACAATGTAATCAGGGCAGGAGTCAACACATATTCCTGTGGTACCCCTTTATGCAGAATAATAGTATTAGATACCTCATCTCCTATTCTGACTGTTTATGGTCTGTTTGTTAAGAAATTCATAGTCCATGAACACAGCAATGGATATACACCCAAAGCATTTAAGGTTTCCACTAAGTTGCTAGGAACTACTAGAACTACTATGGAATTTCTGATGTTAGACTCTTGCTTGGCTTCCCGCACACTAGTTATGATAGTGGAGGACCTCTCATTGGGTTGCAGAGTCTGCAGAATACTTGTCTAGCAACCTCTACCTCACTAGCTGTGGCCTCTATGAATTTCTGAGGGAGGGAAACGGAGGAACAGATCTTCTCTGAGAAAGTTGAAGACTCCAGGGAGTTGTGGGAAAAGGTCCCGCGCCCGTATCTGAGCATGGTGAGTAAATGAGCACTCCGCTACATACTGTTTTGTTAAGGAGGCTGTGCATGATGATCTTTTTGGCTTTCTGGTGGTGGACTGTCCTGTATATTTCCACATTCAATGCCAAACTGTAAGTGACTCTACTAATTTTTTGTAGTTACTATATTTCCTATGATAACAATTTATCTAAT